TGTGCTTCCTCTTCTCGTTCTCTAGCTAGCTGAGCCTCAATTTCAGCCTGTTTTATAAAAACACACCTTTAGCCTTAGCCAATCAAAACCAAAATGCTACATAAGCAAATTATTAGAAAAATATGCCAAGTAGTATATTTATGGCTTTTGAAACACGCAAAATTTACAATTGAAAAAGTAACAGCACTAGTATTTAGTTCGACCCAAGAAAAACAAGAGAGCTATAAACTGTATCTTGGTTTTCACATAGTTTATCAAATCATTATTGTTCACTACTTGTATCACCTTTTAAAATTAAAGTGCCAATCAATTATTCCTTATTTAAAAAAACACATGAGGCTTTTTGTTAGCTATTATGAAAATTAGACTTCAAAAGTTTTCAGAATCATTAAAACTCAGATCATACAGAGCAATACGGTTACCCTTCCAGAGCACTAACACAATACTCCCTTGAAATTCTGCACCTGGCATTATAGGACTTGCAATAAGCATTACTTTGCATATAGGTCCATGGTTCATTCTGAAAAGGGATCAAGACAAACATTGGAATCCTCTGTAGACCTGATCTAGGTTTGAATTAAAGCAAACGGTAAAATTCTAACTTACTGCAACGCAGAAGCAATCCAGATATACTGCCTCTGTAGAGCACAACTAATTCCAGTTTACTGTCATTATTTAACAAAGGGTCTTGCACACACAGTAAGTAAAACACAATCATCCAATTCATACTTCTGAAAGTCATACACGCCAAGTCTTAGCAGTGACTTCCTCGTCAAACATCAAAGGAGACAAAGTCAGCTCCCACTCATCATCATGAATTTGCACCACTAAAGCAGTGCAGTGACATCAGTGACTTTACCCTATGAATCTCATTTTAGATTAGCTGATAGTAACAACCATCAGTAGGAGAGATAACGAGTAACTAACTGTAGTAGAAAGAAATACCCTACTGGATCACCTGTCTGCTTTGTATCCAAACGCAGCGTTACTAAGTATAAGTGTACATTATGAGGGTTCAGGGACCAAAGACACCTCAGAGTGAGAGTTCACGACAGGATCAGTAGGAAGTCAAGAGGCGTCAGGAATCAAGGGGGAGGGGTGCAGGAGCAGGGTTTGAATTACATGTATTTATTCTACATTAATGTAGCCAAAGGGGCTACCAGAGACAGTCCTGTATCCTCTTATTATTACCAAATTTCTGAAAGTGTTTACAGTTAAGCTAGTACATGACATAGCCCGAGTCCAGATGTGACTTCTAAAAGAGAGCCAAACTTGCCTGACATGGAACATCTGCTAAAATTTCAAAGGCTAGACTAGGATTCTTCAGTGTTCTGTATTTTTAACTTCACAATAACTTAAAAAACCCTTCAAAAATAAATGCACCTCTACTCAGAAGACCCGAACTTGCATGTGAACTAGAAATAGGTGATCTGCCTTGGGATGCCCTAACATGACTTTTGCCTGAGACACATTTATAAAATGAAGCCGATAGACTCAGTGAGGAACCTAAGCCATGAAAAAAAAAAAAAAAAAAAAAAAAAAACATTTCTAAAAAAATCCCAACAACAACAACAAACCCCACCCAGACTCCCCCTAGGCTAAAGTATTAACCTGAATACGCTTTTCTTCCTCTTCCCTCTTCTTCCTCTCTTCCTCTTCTTGTTTTCTCTTTGCCTCAATCTCAGATTTCCTATTACAAAAGAGGAGGAGGAAATGAAAACATATTATTACGATGCAAGTGAACAAGAGATATGAAAGCATCTTCCATAAAACTGAACAGTAATCCAGAAGTCAGTACAGTCCTGATGACAGGACACTACAGGTAAAGTCAAGAAACTTTCCAAGTCCATCTGTATTTTCAGCTGCATCATATAACCTCTTCCATACTCTATTCTGACTACATTTATCCTATAAATCACTGGGAAAGGAAACATTTCAACATTGCATAGGAGACCAGAAGTACAATCCAAGTGATAGTCTTTAAGCACAGGAGTATTAAAAACGACCTCATTAAAGCACCTTTCCTATTTTCTTCTCATTCTATAACTAGCAACTTATTCAAGACTCACAGACGTCTTTCCTCCTCTTCCTTCCTTCGCTTTTGTTCTTCCTCTTCACGTCTCTTTCTTTCCTTTTCCATTTCCTCCTGGATGCGTCGTAGCCTCTCTGCTTCCTCCTCTTGCTGTTTCTTCTTTTGCAGCGCACTCAGAAGCTGCTCTGAGCTTCTAACTAGAGCATCATATTCTTTCTGTATCTGTTCCCTAGTCATTATAGTGGTCTGCAAAATGAAATAGTGAGAGGGGGTTACATTCTTTGACATTTGTACTTCACTTTTTAAAAATATATATTGAAAAAAAATATTAAATGAAATGAGAGCACTGAGCAGTATAATTAAATTATATGTACACTTCAGGGTGGGGGAGCCTGAGCACATCCTTCCCTTTCTTCCTAAATTCCTGGGGATCCACTACTCTTCTCTCTCATATACAACCATACAAAGTAATATCCATTTTATCACTGAAAAACATAACTTCTCTTTAAAACATGCCTTCATTTTTTAAACCTTGCAGCTTTAAGCAAGAGAAATTAATTCCTACCACACTAAGATGAAAACCACAGGCCTCCTATGTGCATTTTGTGTCGTGTTCTTAGCTGCTATAGTGGTTATTTACAGCTCTGTCTTTTATGTCACAGCACAGAATATTTTTTCTTACTGTATGTGACAGCGCTCAGAAAAAGTACCGGACTATTCTGTGATTAACTTTTTTTAAAAAAGTATTAGTAGCAAATAACAGGTTGAAAATACTTAAAAAAATGTTTTATGTATGTTTTCAAACCTCACTGATAGCTACAATTTAATTTAATTTTACAATTCACATTGATGCATACTAATAAAGCTGCGTTATGGGGTGTTTGCTGACCTTTTCTGAGGGCGTATCATGATGATAAGAAATTACCTTATTTTTATTAGAAAAGAGAACTGTAAGTTGACAGGTTAACTCTACCAACTGTTCAGACATGATTTTCAATAGAAATACCTTAATACGGTACGCTAAGAAAGCTATAATATTGCATTAAACAAAAATTCAACACTTTTTTTTTTCCTAAAATTAATAACTCAGTGTGCTCTCATTTTGTCTGTGCTTTTGTGTTAAGCAAGTGAGAACCACAGACCCTGAAGCATAATCAGCAAGCTGAATTCTCTTTATTACCAAGTCTGAAAAAAACTCGTAACTGGAATATAAATCTCTTCACTCCGTGATCGATGCTTGGATGTTTCAGCTCTGATTAATTTAAAACATTGCTAATATGCATTATTCCATTAATAAAAGCAACAAACAAATTACTAACAACACTTGTCTCACAGTATCAACATGCATTTTTGCTTTAAATTTTCCAGTGCCAATTTCAAAACACAGATAATAATACCCAAGTCTAGACATATGCACCCAGTTTCAAGATTCACTTCAGTTACATTCACAAATAATTTTAAACAGGATTTATCCAGTGTCTCTGAAAATTAAGACTACTATATTAAAATGTCTTTTCTCTTATGAAAAATACATTGGCATTCCACTTCAGATTAAGTTTTTAAAAGATTCCAGTAATAAGAAACTATTTCTCTGTTTATTATCATACCTTAATTTTGGTCATTAAAGCATCAATAGAATACTCCAGCTCCTTGACCCGCTTGCTTGTCTCCGCCTTCCCCTCCTTCAGAGCACTTACTACTTCATTAAATTTATCAAGTCTCTTCTTCAGTGTACGCACTTTTATCAGGCCATCAATGCTGTGAAGGCAGGACAGTTTATTTGTATCTTGAAGTGCTTTTACAAGGTGATATTTTTAAAACTACCACTAATCACTCACATTGAAGAGGCAGATAGGGGAGACAAGTTATGTCTTCTAATAAAATTCACCCTCTTTTTTTTGAAATTCAAACATTATCGCGTGAAGTAATTCAGCAATGGAGCCTTTTGCAAACAGTAATTAAAACTGATTAGCAGACTTCGACTCAAAACAAAATGCACTTTTATTTTGAGAATTAACGTGGGGGTTCGAGTTGTGCCACTTATTCAAACACCAATAATGGGACTTAATCTGATAAAACTTAACTACACAGCATTAACTACACAGTGGGGAACTCAGTCACTGGAGCTCAATGGAGGAAGAGTCCAGGAAAAGTTGGAACTTTTTAAAGAATCAATATGAAGGCCACACCTACAAGTTACAACTCTGCAGAGACAGACTTCCTAGAAAGAAATCACTGAACTGGGATTCAGAAACAACACACAAAAAGTAGAAACTTAATAAAATCATTAAAGGTGAGTACAGAACAGCTTAAAAATACACAGACATCCTCAGAAATGCCAAGCTACAAAATGAAACAATTATCAAAAAATGTAAAAGAGAACATTGTATAAAGAACCCCACTATTAAAGAACAGAGTTATCAAAGAACAAAAAAGTATCAGCAGATCTTAACGACCAAAGTGTTTTTTCCATCAGTATTCCGTGTAGCCAGATGAAAGCTAATGGAATTAGTTAATTTCAAGAGCAGACGAGACAGACAGAACACACAGTTATTTTTAAGATGAAAAAGAAAGGGGGCCTATAAAGGAAGGTGTGAATAAGTGAAGGACAAAAATTAATGACCTTACATTTCATTTAGAGAGACTTAACTAAGGATTTCTAATAACTAGGTTATCATTGAAGGATTTTATGAACAAAGAGCTAAACACATATTTGTAGGAAAGGTTCAAATTTAGTCTATTCATCCTTTGGAAAGAAAGCAGGAACACGGCACCTCTCAGTCTCTTTCAGTCGTACTTAGCATTCTTCTATGATTTCAGGTATGTTTAGCTAAGCATAGTAAATCTCTTTACATTCACAAGAACATAATAACAAAATCCCACTATCTTCAAACAAGGAATATCCTCTTACCGTGGTTTGTGCTTTCTCTTGCAAAGCCACATACGAACAGTCTTTTGTATTTTAATGCAGGCACTGGCTCGATATTGTATCTTATTTTTCACTGTAAACACACAGAAAATACCAAGTCTCATTGGGTTACACAGTTTAACACAACTCCTGTATTATTCCTGCATTTGATTGCTCAAAACTGTATGTAGACTACACGCACTTGAGAGCTAGGTCTACACTGGAATCACAACACTTAAGACACAACAGACAACAGAATTCACAATCCCGAGCCAGGCACAGAGGCTCCCACCCAACACAAAGAGGAAGAATTAAGCGCGCGCACACTTGCACGCGTGCACCATCCACCCCCTCCAGACCCACAGACGTCAGTGACCTCAGTGAAAAGTCAGCGGACCCAGCAGGCAGGAGATGCTCAGCTCCAAGCCTAAGTCTGGTGCTGAAGGGTAATCAAGCAGCCAATGTCTGCCAGAGATAAAAAAGTGTCTGCAACTTTGCTGAGCATTTCTTCGCAATACTGAAATAAAAGAACACAAAACAAAACCTCCACCTGTTCTTGTTCTAATACAGTCTTCATCTAAAGACTCAAATGACTGGGACCAGGAGGAGAGTTAAACAGAGAATGATGTCAAGGTACAGGCACAACCCTATGTGCGGAGTAGCTCAGACACACAACAATACATGCTGGTTTTATATAGGTATTAGAGGAAGCACAGACGCCGAAGCATCCCTGCTGCCTTCAGTCATCAGCTGAGCACATGGTTTGTGAACACAGGGATACTTAACTACTGAACTTAGGTGCACAAAAAGACGTACTCTACTTCTTGTCTACCTATTTCAGCTTTATTCTGGGGATAAAATTAGCTTCTAATTTCCCATAAAACACTAAAAAAAGAGTAAGGCACGTCAAACCAGCATATTATTTCCCTGGGTTTCTCTTTTTTGGATACAGTGACAGACTTTCTGTCCTATCTTTCTGAAAAACAGACCAAATGGCATAAATAAACCATGATGCTAGTGTTACAGTTTCTGATGTCTGAAACCTAGATGATAAGAACTCACAGATTCTATTTGTGCTAGTATAAACAGCAGCAAATAGCACCCAACCAACGACAAATGTAAATGTCATGACCGTGCTGGCCCAAATGCACAGCCATAAGGCATGAGGCCTTTCTGCTTTTCTTCCCCATTTAACGTATACTTTCCACCATCCATGTTTTTATAGATCACTGACATCCTGCATTAGACCTTTCCCCATCTCCCAGACATCTCTACTGAAGCACCCCACAAGCATCAATCGCTGTTCCACACTGCCTCATCCCTACCCTGCACAGTAAACTGAGCAGGCCAAGCACTTAGAAACTGCTTATCAATAGTGATAGGCACTTATTTGCTGATCAGCACCAATTGCTGGACTGGAGATGTTTGCCACATAATCCATGCCAGTGCTGTCAAAAACATGCATTTTCTGTCCAGAGAAGACAAGCTCTATGCAGGCACTTCCTGGAACTAAATGACTCCATGTTGTCAGCTGAAAGCTGACTGCTGTTCTTCCACACTGATGCAGAAGTCTCTCCTAGCTGATTGCTAGTTATTTCTGCGCAAAAATCTTCCCAGGCTTCAGTAAGCACCCAAACAGACTGGACAGAGCAGATTGGTGGTGGGCTATACAACCCACTTCAAAGAACCTCTGCTCTAAGCCCCCCTATATGTACCTAACATAAAGGATAAAAAATCCTCACCAATGTTGAAAGCAATTACTCACACTTTAGTATGCAACCATCTCCTATACATGTCCTTGGTCACATTTCAAGGTGATAATAATTGCTTTGCTAGATTTTCATCAAATATTTTCATTTCATAAAACATAAAATACATACATTTAATCACTGAGAGAGAACACCATTGAACTTTTTTCCAACGACTGCAGATAAGCCAGCGATTCACTCGTTTAACTAGCTCTGCTAAGTGATCCGGATCAGACTTCATTATCTGATCAAACTCTGCAAACTAAATATTAAAAAAAAAATTAAAAATTACAAATTAGGAGAACAGAGAGTGTTAGACATTACTATTTAAGAGCTTATTGAGTTAAAAAGGTAAAATATTTTTAATGTAAACTGTATGTCATCATTATATCAGCTTTCAATTAATTGAAGTGAGCAGGTATGTCTGGTATCACTTTATTCTTTAATGATAACAGAAATGACTACTGGGGTTTTTTGTTTGTCTGTTTAATCGCTGTGCAACACCTAGCATTTTGAATAATCCAACCATTTATTAATCACTAAAACTATTTATTGCCAAAATTTTTAAAAATTGCTTCTCTGCATCCTGAACACTTACTCTGGCCTTCCACAACTTCAAGACACCTCTAAGTCTGTATCTGGGAAAAAAATAAAGCCCTGAAAGCACTTCTCAATTTCTAACCTATGTATAAGAGTCCATCTAAGGCAATTTTGTCTGAAAATCCTGCACTTCTACTTTTCGGTAAGAACATTCTTCTGGAACTACAACAGTTTCCCTCTCTAGTCACAACAGCTCTCTACTTCACGTCCTTTCTCTGCATAGCAGCAGCAATGCTCAGAATCACAGAAAGAGACTTCAGCTATAAACAGATTTTACTAGAAAATATTTTTTCTTTGCTCTGACTTGATCTTCTTAATAGTCAACATAAGTCTTAAGTGACTGGCAGAATGTCTCAGAATACAAACATTACATTAGGAATACAGCAGCATTAGCAACAAGACTATGAAACCAATTATATCAGTATTAATACTGATTTTTTTCTTAGGAAATTAACAGTATTTACAAAAAACCCTGGGCAACCTTATTTAAATTGGTCACACTTTTAGCAATGTGTTGAACAATGTCACCTTCAGAGGTTCCTTCCAACTGAAATTATTCTAAGATTCACATTCACGAACTCCAAGAGAAACATTACCTTGCCAGGTCTAAAAAACACCTTAGTTAGCCCAAATTTGTAATCATTTTCATTCAGTCCCAAGGCTTTAAATAGTGCCTGAAACACAGAAAACAGGATTATACTCTGCCTCCTTCAAAAAAAAAGTTCAAAAAACACAAAAAAAAATCCCTCAATACCTTGCAGAAGAGCCTAGGATCCAGTCGAGCCAACTTATCAGGCAAGTATTTCTTGTACATATTATACAGTTCATGAAATGAAGCTCGTGAAGGGAAACCACCTTGCATCAAATCCAGAACTGACACCATTCCTAGATTCATAGAAACACATGCACAAAAGCTGGTATCAGTAAAATGCAAATGAAGCAGTGATTTTTTATGATAACCAGTAGTTTATGACATAAACCTTCAAGACATTTTTCAGACACTAAACCACAAAGTTCAGCTGGGACTTGACCCAGGCTCTTAACATTTCTCGATCACGTAATCATTCACAAAAAGTTAATACTGAACAGATGAGAAGAGCCCATACAATTTTCACTGTATGAGAAGTATGTTAACACCCAGTCACGCAGAGGATTTTTTTTCCTAAAATTTTTTCTACCTATTTTTTTCTTTTTAGTAAACTTGACATTTTAATTTTTAAATAAAAAACCCACCCCAACAAACAATGTCTGGCCAGGGTTTTATTTTCATTGTGTCAATGATATTTGTGAGACGTGGTACCTATGCAGCATCAAATACATATGCAGCACTAGAACATTCAGTGTACTTGCAGTACTAGGTGTCAGCTGCTAAGATGTAATCGTAATGTCCCGAATACTGTTACTACATTTTGGCTGCAACTAGGAATCAGTAAAGCACAGACGCAAAGTCAGTAAAACGTTCCAATTAGTTCAAGCAGCACCGGGCATGCCCGCTGCTTTACATAACCCTGTCAACAGATTTTGCATACAAGTTCTTAAGTTAGCCCTTACCTTGTGGTTGCTGTCTTTAAATTTAATCTTTTGCATCTTTGTTTTCAATGGAAAATTGATCTGTTTACACTAAGTCTTTTTCAAAAAAGATTCTGTAGCATTACATCTTTCTCTTATTACATGTAACAACTTTGTTTTACCAGATTAAGCTTTATTTACTGTTGCTAAAGTAAGCACAAGGGAGCTTGTAAGAGACCGCAACTGCTGGAGGGGGCGGGGCAGAGTTAATTTGTTATTCTTTTCCTCTCTGACATGCCAAATACTGTTAACCTGAAGAAACCTACTACTAATGATGTTAGTGGAATTCTAATTGCTGAAAAGTTGTTAAGCTTTTGTGATGATAACATGACATGTTAAACATGCGGGCTTGTCAAAACATCAGCTGCAGAACTTCAAAATACCTTGTCTTCAGAAAAAATTAAGCACAAGCTACTGAAAGTACAAAATACAGAAAAGGGAAAAAATAAATACTGAAGTACTCTGATGAACAAACACCCTATGAAGAACAACAATACTAGCACTCTAATTCCCAAGCAAGCATTTCCTTCTGCTGTTCAGTGAGCAAAATCTGCTAACATTCATTCTTTAAAATAAAGCTGTAAAATTGGAAAGCACCTAACATTTCAAGAAAAATGAAAATGCAGCACTGTAATCTGTAGTATATAAAGCAACAGGAAAGACTATGCTGAAATGCCCCTGTTGGAAGTTCAGATCCAAACCAAATTAAGAGTCAGATAAAGAACTTCCAAAAGAGTAAAAGACGACGATTCAACTCTACCATAGCATCTACAAAATCAAAAAAACCCAGGTGTGTTTCAATTATTAAGATATCTCAGCTAATGCTCACTGCCTCTAAATGCATACAGGAGTTTCTAACACTTCAATTGCCACAGCAATTTAAAAGAATTCTATTGTTCTGGACTGAACTGTTGCCCTATTAACACTGTGGGGAACAAACAGAGGTGGGATTCAGCTCCAGGTCAGGACATCTAAATTTATGTACCAATATATGGCTACATGGCTTCTTGCATATGCACCTGGTGTCTGAACTTTCATTATGATCAATGGAAAAACAGTCAACGGAAATTACATCAACTCTTTCTGCAAAGAAGACACCTTATGGCTGTTCACATGAATTATTTCTAGGGTTCTCTGACTAAAACAAGAGCAAAGTTACTAAGAATCTAAATAACTGCTCATAATGCATAAATAAGCTGCCTTCTAGAAAGCAACAGTTCAAACAAAGAAATATTAGTTGCATCTCACATATTTCAAATTTAGGTCAATCTATAATCTTTAATAGTAAACAGAGGGAAAAATATCAGAGGCATACGTTACCTGAACACTGAAGCTGAGAGAGGATCTGTCCTCCTTCAAAATTGTGGTTTGTCATCTTTAAATTAGGTTTGATACAGCGAATAAAGCTAGACCCCTATTACCAAAACAAGAAGTTAGCAGAATTTACACATTTTTAAACCTCCTGAAAAAACAGTTAGTCATTTAAGAATTACGCGGGGGGGG